GTTCCTTAACTCTGTGTGTTGGCTAGTGTTTGAACAATCTGTGCCTGCCACTAAATGAACAAAAGTACCAAACGGATTGGGACTAAGTTGTTAAAACTTCTCAGGAGAGGGCTGCTGAGATGGCCCAGCAAGAAAAGAGCACTTGCTGCTGAGCCTGGTATCTATCCCTGGGACCCACATGGTAGAGAGAGGCAGTTCCTACAAGCTGTCCTTTGACTCCATATGGATTCAAAGGACATATGCATTCTCTCTCTCTCTCTCTCTCTCTCTCTCTCTCTCTCTCTCTCTTTCTCTCTCTCTCTCTCTCTCTCTCTCACACACACACACACACACACACACACACACACACACACACATACTAAATGTAAAGACAATGAAAAACAACCTGGGTGATCTAGGTTTGATGACACATGCCTATGATTCCAGAAGCTGAGAGGCTGAGGGGATATGAAGTCCAAGGCTAGCCTGGATCAAACAAACAAACAAACAAACAAACAGACAAGAAAGCTAGCTACGTCAGGCGAGCCCAGTGTGCAGCCAGGGCTGAGAACTGCTATTTTGCATGGTGCCTGCTTTGTTTGGAAGAGGAAGCAGGCCAGACCACCCCCATTAACCTGTTGGCACACTACAGCAGGTGTTACAGGAATGCTCTCCCATTCAGCAGACCAGGCAGTGCTAGGCACTGTCTGCCTACAAACCAGATTTATGGTCTTGGACAAACAGGACCTTGCCTTGGCACGGCCCCATCTCCTGAACACTAATTAAGTCCTAAATAATTCCCATCAGTTTGTGCGTGAAGTAAACGGGTCTCAATTTAAGACAACTTCCCCACCGTGTCCGGTCTGATGGGACCGCAGGTTGCAGGTTTACGCAAACACTTCCTGGTTTCTTCTTTAATGAGAAGCTATTGCTGTCTAGCCGTCCTGACAATGTGTTTTTACTGGATTTCGGATCACATTTATGACTGAGATGATAATGGATAACAAGATAGTAACATGTACTCCACTGAGCCGCTAATCAGCGTGATTACCACCAGGGTCTTTCAGTGTAATTATTGGTTCTTATCAGCATCCATTTCATTAAAATTTTGGCAGGTACGGGTGGAAATGGTGCAGACAGACTCACGAGGGTGGAAGCGGAATGGTAAGACCATAAACCTAGAAAAGGCACAGGCGAACTGAGTTTATTAAACAGTGAGTGAAAAACCCACAATGCACTGCTTCCTACACTGTCTTCTCTCCATGCACCATAGGGAGAGCAAGGAAGTGCCTTGATCTGGGCTTACTCAGGGCTTTGGATTTGAACCCATGGTTTGATAGACTTACCTTGTCGTCATTTATTCTTAGATAAACATGTGCTTGGGGTTTGGGAGCCTGAGTAAAGTCCTAAGCCTGCTTTCTCTTCCTCCTGGGATGAACATTAAACTGCTTCTGACTATGTAATTTAGAGAAGGGTGCACAGGCAAAGGGGCGAAATCAAGGGAAGCTGGGGCTCTCTGCTCCCTTGGCCCCAAGAGAAACACATGCATTACTGAGAGCAGAGTTGGGCAGGGGCTAGGCTGGGAAGTCAATCCTACCCTAACCAGGGACTTGTCAATCTGTCAGGATCAAGAGATCCTTTCTGCCGTCTATATGTGGACTCATATGGAATGAAGCTCAGAGAAAAAGAGAATGAGAAAAAAAAATTGACCTGGCGGCAGGGACCCGGGTAGCCAACGGCCAGTGAGCCTCATGCCTAAGTTTTATTGTGACTGCTGTGATACATATCTTACCCACGATTCCCTGTCTGTGAGGAAGACACACTGCAGTGGTCAGAAACACAAAGAGAATGTAGAAGACTATTACCAGAAATGGATGGAAGAACAGGCTCAGAGCCTGATTGACAAAACAACGGCTGCATTTCAACAAGGAAAGATCCCTCCTCTGCCTGCAGGGGCCATGATCCCGCCTCCCCCCAGTCTCCTGGGTCCTCCTTGGCCTGGTATGATGCCTGTGGGACCAGCTCCTGGGATGAGACCGCCCATGGGAGGCCACATGCCCATGATGCCCGGGCCTCCCATGATGAGACCTCCCACCCGCCCGATGATGGTGCCCACGCGGCCCGACATGACCCGGCCAGACAGATAAGAGCAGAAGCGCTAGCTCTTCATCGTTTTGTATTGTGCTGTTTCACCAGGAGATCTTGGTACTGAGCCTGAGTGTTTACTAGACGCATGGCAAGAACTTCCTTCCTAACAGAGAGGATACTTTTGTTGGGAGAAGTGATACAAAAGGGGCCATTTTCACTTACATTGTGAAATGTGAAAATAAAATGGTCAGCTGTTTTAGTTAAAAAAAAAACAACACTGTTTTTTGTTTTCTCAAGACTGGGTTTCTCTGTGTAGCCCTGGCTGTCCCAGAATCTGCTCTGTAGGGCAGGCTGACCTTGAACTCAGAGATCCACCTGTCTCTGCCTCCAGGATGCTGGGATTATATGCGTGTGCCACCAATGCCTAGCTAGAAAGACCATTTTAAAAAATTATTTCCATTAGTATTTTGCCTACATGTATGTTTGTGTACCATGTCATGGCTGGTGCCCTGGAGGGACATTAGATGGTGGACATTGGATCCCCTGGAACTGGAGTAACAGCCAGTTGTAAGTCACTGAATATGGGTGCTAAGAAATGAACTTGGGTCCTTTGCACGAGGAGCGTCACTCTTAATGTCTCTCCACACCCCCAAACCCACATTTGCTTCAACAGGGACAGCAAGAGTGGTTCTGGCATCTGATTTTTACTATGCTTTTTCTAATTGCCATAGCCACGCCCAAAGGGTCCAGCTCATTTCCATCTCCAGCAAACAGCCAGAAGAGCACCAGAGAGGAGAAGGCAGTGTAGCCATTGAAAACCAGAGGGAAGAGTCAGGGAGAAGATGGCTCAGTTAAGCAAACTGCTTGCTGTACAAGCAGAGGGACATAAGTCTGGATCCCTAGCACCCACAGGAAAAGCCAGACACGGTACCTTCCACGTGCCTGAAATCTTGGAGCTAGAGAAGCAGAGACAGGCTGATGCAGACCAACAGACCGACAGACAGACAGATAGACAGACAGACAGACACACACACAAAATCAAGTTGGGAAGAGTATGCCATGGCTGGTTAAAAATAGCATACTTCATGATTTAATTTGGGAGGAGCTGGTTAAGAAAGGAATCACTAATAACCAGAGGGATATGGGTATTCATCTGTGAATCATGGCATCACTCTTGGCTTCCCTTTCAATTTGTACCTTTTTCCATTGCACATATTAAGCTTTAAAAACTGCATATTAATTCTCCAATCAGAAAAGGTCATCATTTGCCAAGATTAGCATGCATCCTTTGTGACGTAGACATTGTGGTTTTGATAAAGCTGGCTGGCAAAGTACATTGCATTCAGGCTGGACAGGGACAGCCTTCTCCACCTCCTTTGTGAAGCCACTTTGAGGTGATGCTCACGATGGGGCTCCTAAACCTGCTGAGAGGAGAGTATCCCGGCTAGTGATGTCATTCTCTCTGGAAAGTTCCAGAAATTCTGGAGTAGGCATATGGCTGAGACCACTGTTGGAGAGATAATGGAGTACTCTGACTATTTTTTTTTTTTCTGGAGAGGTCAAGGTTTTATGGGTCATGGGACAACTACTCAGGTCTGTGGCTGAGAAACATCATGTTAAGGATGAGTGTAGCCGGGTACCAATAAAACTTTATTTATAAAGAAAGTAGTTTAAGCTAGGGGAGATGGCTTGGTGGCTAAAACACTTATCATACCTCTGTGAGGACCAGAGTTTGGATCAACAGGACTCTTATAAATGCTTAGTAGATGTAGTAGCCTGTCCCACCCCCACCTCCATGCCAGGATTGCAGGTATGTACCATCACACTCAGCATTCTTGCTTCTCTCTCTCTCTCTCTCTCTCTCTCTCTCTCTCTCTCTCTCTC